AAAAACATGGTTCACCAGTTTTATGTTTCTTAATATATCTTCAGGTTCATTTACTGTAAGTTTATCATAAAACATCCCCTAAGGCTGTAATTTTTTTTTTTTTTAAGGAAAAGGATTTCCTTTAAATAGGGGGTTTTGAAGAGGAACCCAAATTAGGGGCAACCTTGACATCAGATATTTACACTGAGTAGAACATACTGAGTAAATGACATACAGCCCAAGACCCTATTTATAGTGCAAAGAACCCCAGAGTTCTTCACATGAAGTTTAATCCTTACAATTAATTTAAGCTCTCTGCTGGAAGTAGCTTTATTTCCCATTTTACAGTTCCTTAAGGATGCAGATAATGCTTAATTCTAAATACCTGGAGAGAACTAGGACCAATGTGAAAACTCAAAACTAAGTGTAACAGGCAGTAGACAGACATAAACAGGGCAAAGGTGAAGGACCAAGTACAGCAGGTCACCGGGTGGGGGTGGGGGGAAGCCCTGGGTGCCTCCTCGGAAAACAAGAACCTTGGCCCCAGGGAACCGTTTGTCCCCCTCGCTGCTGAAAATACCCCGTAAGCATTAAGCCCCCAGGACAATGAGATTCTGACCTGCATCAAAAATATCTAGGCCTCAGTGGTGTTTCTGCTCCAAGCCCAGATAAGCAACAAAACCAGGCAAGTGAAGCCAGGGCGGACATCAGGACCAGCTGCACTAAGGACTGCACCCTGGCGCAGTCAGTAGAGACCCCGACTCTGAAAGGACACGCCTGCAAAGCTGATGAATACTCTGTTGGGATCCTCCCTCACCTCCAGGTAACTCCCTCGAGGAGGAGGACCCAAGCAGCTCTCTCCGGAGCAGGCCCAGGCCTTCCCTCCCCCACCCCCGCCCCTTCCCCCCAGGGCATTTTCCTCGCCTATCTCTCCTAAGCTCCCAGTGCCCTCCTTTTGCCTCTGTAACTTGTTCCCAGAACCACGCAACTCAGCTGGCTCACATCTACCTCTGTGACTCTCTAAATACACTTTTACTTGTATTTGAGTCTTGGCTCTGAATTCTTTCTTAGCAAGGATTCAAGTACTGGGGTTGCTGAACTGAGGTCCAATCGCTGCTAACATTCTGGTGCCACTCGGTGGCCAACATAAGGCCGCCTACACTCTGGTATCCTGACTTGGCGGATACCCCAGGGGCCTGCTGCACTTGGTCGAGTCTGTCCCTCCCAACATGGCAGGAACCTGGACCACTGGCTACAGGAGCTACCCTTATGCTTGATACCTATTCATTCTTCCCCACGGGACCCGTCTTGTTTCCAATTTAAATGGCAAAAAAACCCCGAATGCCGATTTCAGATCTCATGCACTAATTCGACATCTGAATTCTACAGACTGAAGAGAGAACGGGCTGGGTATAAAGCTATGAACTATGTGGGAAGGAGACTGAGAGGACTGTAATCAATTAGGCTGCAGCTGATAAGAAAAGGGCTTTAAACTTCCAGAACCCTTTCGTTAATTTTGCTTCAGTATCAGGACGAGCACGACTACACAGAACTGTGTTCCAGCCCCACTTCAACAACCTGCCTTTGAAGTAGCCAGAATCCAGAGTGTTCTCGAAAACCACTCACTCAGCAGCTCCCCTGGCTAGTCCGGACTGGCAATCTTGAGCCACTGCAGCTGCCCAGCAGTGTAAACAGCGCCCAAGCAGCAGCCCTCTTCCTTCCTGCTTAACTTAAGGAGGAATAATAGCCCAGGGAAGAATCAGTATATTACTTGGGAGGGGGAATGGAGGGGAAAAGGTCTGACGTGTACACGAGCATGAAACAAGCCCCTCACCCTTCCTTCTCTCATTTTGGACTCCTGGGGTAACCGGGAGGAGGGGGCGACCGGGTCAAATAATGGAGACACACAATCACCTCGGACCCTGACTAGTGCTCGCTGGGGTATAATTAATGAAGAAAAGAGTGAGGAGAGCACGGGCTATGGACAAGCAAAGTGCTGATAGACAACAATGCACAGAAGTTAAGGCGGGGGTCGGGGACGATATCAGGAAGTTGTCACTGTCGCCGCGCCACCTCCCCCACCCCGCAACAGACCTCAAATTCCCTCAGAGACCAAGTCTCCACCGTAGGGATGACCTTCCTCTTTGCTGGGGAACGGCGTGATGCCTCAGCTCCCCACCCAGGCGGAAGCAGGAGGGGAGGTCCGACCTCCGAGAGCACCCCTTCCAGGGGGTCCATCCGGACTGGATCGCAAGCGTGGGGAAGGGGGGGGGTCCGCGGAGGGCGGGGCATCGCCTCAATAGCTAGGAGCTGCATCCTGGCAGGGAGGGGTTACCCAGAGCCACGGAGCTGAAGCTCGCCCCTTCCACTACCCTGCCACCTGGTTACCTCTTCGCTCCTTCGTCGTCTAGCAGCTCCGGCTCAGTCGCCGCCATTACCACATCGCACTCCGCGGCAGCCGCCATCTTACCGCCGAGACCAGAGAGCCGGGTGGGAGGCCGGCGGTGAAGAGCACTTCCGGTCGGAGCATCGAGCAGCTCAGCGGCTCTGTGCCCAGAGTGGCTCCCTCGGGCCCGTCTACCAGCGAGAGGCTCCGCTTGGGGCCAGAGTGGCCTCCCGTCCCCGGAGGTCCACGGTGGTCTCCGCGCCGGGGCGGGACCCCAGGGACGGTTCCTGTGCGTGGGAGGCGCCACTTTAACTACAGATCGAAAGGGAGTATAGGAGAGTTTCTCCTCTGTATACCTTGGCTTTTCTCAGTATTCCGAGAGCTTCGTTGCCATAGCAACTCCCAATCCTAGAGCGTCTTTTGTGAGGTTCAGGGGAGTCTGAGATGGGTGGGGACCCGGTCACCCAGGACTTCGGAGGGAAAGAACCCCCACTACTACCTTTCAGACCTTGGAGTGTGTCCACAGCCTCCTCCCGGGAAAAGCGAGAAAAGACACTTTGAGCCCGGTTTCCTTAGCTTTCATCGGCCCCTGATAGCCCTGCCCAACCAAGCCAGGGGAACGCAGGACGGCTTCACCCCGCGCCTTTCATCCCCTCTGGATCTCCAAGCACCAACTGGTTCATCACCCTAATGACGCTGACCCTTTTATGATGCTGCTTTCATGTCAGCCGCCTGGGAGTGCCATCTCAGCATTAGGCCTAGGAAGAGTGGCACAGCCCCCCAGACCCTGCCCTCGAGTTTATAAGGTAGCTCATGGGGTGAGGTCCCTGCCCCAGTGCCCCAAGTAGTCCCACCTCTCATAAAAACTCCCTGCTCAGCACGCTTGTCTTGCAGAATGCAATCTGAATCTGGAACTCAGGGCAGGGACACAGCGTAATCATCTTTGTAGTGCTTTACCTCACCCAAACCAATAATATTTGTAGACTTGAATTAAATTGGGGTTTTCTGAGGTTAAGTTGAGGGAGTTTGAGTTTAAAAACTTAAAGCCATGGGGGAAACTCAAACAATAAGGGGGCAAGAGAATTCCAAAGGGATCTATCCTCTTCCTTTAGTAAAACTATGTGCCACTGTCCATATGCTGCTTGCATGACCCCTACTTACCAGGCTGCCAAGGAAGCTCAAACCAAACTCACCATTAGGTAGGGGAGAATGGGAGAGGCTCAGCAGGTTGGGATAGAGAGGTCATGTATCCAGCCCTCTCCAAAGTGCCTGCTCACTCTCCCTATTCTAAGTTGGGAGGGCACAAACTCACCAGCTGCCCTGCATGCCAATCAGTCTACAGTCTAATGCAGGAGACATTCTTTCACCATCTTCCCACTTTGTGTTCTCTGCATCTAAGCCAACTCATCTACACCCACAGCTGTAACCTTGTTGGTGACTCTCAACTCTGTCGGCATCTCCAATCTAGACCTCTCTGCTGAGTTCAGATCTGCATATCCAACTCTACTTTTGGTATCTTTTGGATGTTTCACAAATCCCTGAAGCTTAACATATTTAAACTGAACTTGTTATTCTCTCCCCACCCCTCAACAACAGAAAAAAAAACTAAATGCTGTACTTGATTCTCTTCTGCTGAATTCCTCATCTTGTTGAATGGATTCAGCATTCATCTGGCCATCAAATGAGACAGATCGGAGGCATCACGCATTTCTCCCTCTTTCTCACTCCTGTCTCCCAATTTATCGCCAAGCCTTGTTGATTATCCTACCAAAAGTCTCTCTAATCTGTCTCCTTTCCATCCCAATTCAGGCGCTCATCGTTTCTTTTTTTAAAAACTTGGAATACTACCAAGTCTCCTGACTGGCGCCCCAGTCTCATCTCTCTCCAATCTTCAGACTTCTGCCAGACTGACCTTAAACGCAAAAATTGATCATGTTTCTCCAATAAAACTTACCAATGGCTTTCCACTGCTGTGAGGGCACAGTTTGAAACCCTTGGCCTACTACACAAGGCCTTTGAGTATTTGGCTCCTTTCTACCATCAGTATTGAACCCAAGCACTTATAGTTCCAGAAAAATGCCATGCATCTTTGCCATGCTTTCTCCACCCTTTCCTCCCAAGTCCTTCAAACTTAACACAGACATGACCTACTCCAAGAACTCCTCCGTGAAGCCCACAACCCCTGAGTTAAATGCCCCTCTTCTGTGCTCCCATCGCACCTCTGTAATAGTTCTTACCATGGTGTACTGTATGTGATTTTAGGATTAGATGTCTAGCTCCTCTAGATGGTGACGTTCTTAAAGGCAGCTACAGTGTCTAACTCGACCAGTTTTCCAGGTACGTGGTCCTGTACCGGGCACAGTAGGCGTTTACAATACACTTGATGAATAAACAATAGGATAAATTAAATATTACTGTACAATCGAGGCCTTTAGAAAAAGAATATTTGGGCATCAGGCAACCACAAAGTCACCCCGCAGCCCAGGAACCTAGTACCGCGTCCTCCGGCGCACCACCAGTTGGGGGCTTGGCCGTCATTTTCCCCGCCGGCCTCTGGGGGCGCTGGACGGACGGCGCCCGCTCTTCGGCCGCCGGAATTCATCTTGCCGCGGGGTAGGGGGGCGTGGCCGGACCGAGCCTGGACCGATCCGGAAGAACGGGGTCCTGTGGCTGTGCTGCCCCTCCCCTGGTCCCCGCGCGGCTCTGGGGTCCCGGCCTGGGTGCTGCCAGAGCCCCGGGAGGTACGGAGCTGGAAGGCTGGGATCGGCCACCGCGTTGGGGCCGCTTTCGGTGGCAGAACTTTGCCGCCTGTGATTCCCTCTGGGGGTCCCCTGGTGGGGAAATTAGTGGCGGAGGCCCGGCTGGTTGTCTGCCTTGGGGTGTCTATTAATTGTGGGACTCACTGTATGGGTCCCTGTGGGCGGGGGTGGGAGGGTGTGTTTTGAGTTGTTTCCTCCGGAGAGGTTTCTGTTTGGAAGCCTTTCGAGGAGTGAGCTTTGTGTTCCTGCTCTCGGGAGGAATCTGGGGCTGCTTCTGGGAAGCTGTGTTTTGGGATGCCTTCGAGATTTATGGGATCTCTTCGGAGAAGGACTTTCTGTGAACGAGCCTTCTCATCTGGGTCTGTCAATCCAAGGGCGGCAGAAATTGTCTCCTTTCTGGAATCCTTTTTTCCCCTCTTAGATTCCTTCACTCCTTTTCTTGTCTGATGGTCTTCACCTTAGCCATGGACTTGGCTAGGAACCAGAGGAAATTAATTATTGTGGAGATAAGTCATGCAGAAAAGCAAAATACAGTATTTTCCTTACTTGTTCACCAAAAAGAACTGCTTACAACATACCCACACAAAAGAGTATTCCTACTAATTTCTCCGTGGGGTCAGGGTTAAAAAGAGGAAGCGGCGCACAATCTCCCCTGAGTAAACCAGTCGTCTGAGTCCTGTGCACAGAGAAAACCTTGCCAGTGTTTCATTTAAACTAGCATCTTCCCACTTTTATGACAATGTTTACTGTGCATCAACAGTTACTGGCCAGGCGTGGGGAATAATACAGATGAATAAAATACAGTTCTCTGTTCACTAGTGGGCATAGACACATAATTTCTGGCATATACTCTGACTAGAATAGGGGACGGTACTGAATCCCTTCTGTATGCCGCTCAGAACGTGGGCCCTCAGCTATGGCAGGTGTGCCCCCCCGTGTTGCTCCCACCTCACCCAGGTGTGCTTGTGTTCTTCAAGGTTGAAGGCCAAGCATGGGGAAGAGCTGCAAGGTGGTCGTGTGTGGCCAGGCATCTGTGGGCAAAACATCAATCCTGGAGCAGCTTCTGTACGGGAACCATGTAGTGGGTGAGTGTGTTTTTTTTTGGGGGGGGGCGTGTCAGAATGGTGGAAGAAGTTGAAGAACGAGGACTAGGATTTGATAACAGAGAAGTTAAAACTCTGCTCCTGGAATCAAGTGTCTACACCGTGTTCTCCGGCTCCACAGCATTGAGATCTGAGGAAGGAAACCCAGCTATCTGAGATAGGGGGGAGAAGCTCCAAAGTGTCATTTTTGCTCAGCAGGCTATGAGCATGAGATGAATGTTTGTTCCCCCAAGTCATAAGCCATCCAGTCCTGTCAGGATATACTCAGTCACTCATGCTTCCCATCTCCTTCCTATCTCCTTCCTCCCTGCAAACAAGTCTGCTCTCTTTATCCCAGGCTCTGAGATGATTGAGACACAGGAAGACATCTACGTGGGCTCCATCGAGACTGACCGGGGGGTGCGGGAGCAGGTGCGTTTCTATGACACCCGGGGGATCCGAGATGGGACGGAGCTGCCCCGGCACTGCTTCTCCTGCACCGACGGCTATGTCCTGGTCTACAGCACAGACAGCCGGGAGTCCTTTCACCGTGTGGAGCTGCTCAAGAAGGAAATCGACAAATCCAAGGACAAGAAGGAGGTGTGTATGGGAGGACCAGTGGGGAGAGAGGGCGGGCCCAGGGCCGGCTTGGCCTGGCTGTGTTTTTCACTCGTTTTCCAGGAGTTGGGTTAGGAGCTAGAGGAACGATGGAGGCCACTAGAGGGTGCCTTCATCCACAGAGGTGGCCCGTGCTGAGAGCTCAACCCAAGAGGCTTCTCTTTAGTTCAGGAGGTCCCTGACCTAACACATGAAGCCCCCACTAGTCTTTTCTTATAATGGTTCCGTACTTTTAGTTATGAAAGCTCTTCTTTCCTCAAGTCCCTCTTTATGCTGCAGGCATTCTGGGCGTGTGTCCTCACCAGTTATTTAGCCAAAAGTGAATTGACTGCTAGCAATGAGCAGGTATGGGTGATCCGGGGCTTGTAATGGAGCCCCTGGAGAGAGGGCCAGGTGGAGGCCAGCATTTGAAGAGAGGAAGGACAGGGAAAAGCAACCATTTCCCTCCCCTCACTCTGGTTTCTAATAGAGGAAGAGATGAGACATCAGCCATCAAGACTTTCATTCTCTTAGGGCCCCTAGGTGGTGGCCAGCCCTCGCACCCAATCCTAAGGTCCATGGTATGTCCATAAGCCTGTACTCTGTCCCTCTTCCCCAGGTCACCATCGTGGTCCTTGGCAACAAGTGTGACCTGCAGGAGCAGCGGCGTGTGGACCCAGATGTGGCTCAGCATTGGGCCAAGTCAGAGAAGGTGAAGCTGTGGGAGGTCTCTGTGGCCGACCGCCGCTCCCTCCTGGAGCCCTTCATCTACCTGGCCAGCAAGATGACCCAGCCCCAGAGCAAGTCCGCCTTCCCCCTCAGCCGCAAGAACAAGGGCAGCGGCTCCTTGGATGGCTGAAGAGCTGCATCCCTTCTTCACCTTCCCAGCCCCAGGCCAGATTCTGGGGCTTTGGAAGATGGGTTGAGGGGAAAGGGGAACTCCCTACGAGGGCAGGCAGCCGGGGCTGTTCCAGGCTCAGGCCACTTGTGCTCCCTCCCAAATCCGGGAAATGCAAATAATCTAGGTTAGTGCCCCCAACCTCTCCCTCCACCCCAGCTTTCATCATATCTGCCCCTCTCTGACTTGGGCAGTTGTGGGTCAGTGTCCGTTCCACCTGTCCTGGACGGAAAGCAGAGCTGCCATGCAAAAGCGCCCAGTCTAGGGTCTGGTTCTGATCACGGGTCCCACGCCTCTAGGCTTCAGCCGCACACACAGACGCATGCACACACGGCGCCGGCCTGGACTCTGGGGAGAGGGCGTCCAGGTATCGTGTGTGTGCACATACTGGCATTAGGGGTGCCTCCTCACCCAGCACCCTGACCTTGCTCCTGGCCGTCCCTTGGCTGGCTGGAAGAAGCCAGCCTCTTGGGAAGTGTGATTTTTCTGCTTGACCTCTTCCCGTCATTGTCTCGCTTCTTCCTCCCACTTACAGGGCAGGTGGGCCCCATGGGTTGAGTTGGAATGGAATGATAACTGGGCTGAGTCCCCAACTGGCCTTGTGACCCAGCAAGGCTTTTCGCCTCTCTGAGCTTCAGTTTTCTCATCTGTACGGTGACAGGAGTTTCCTTAGGTGACCTTTTAGATCCTCTCCAGCCCTGTGACTTTTTAAAGCCCGTGCCTTCGGGCCATCTGACTGTACGTACCCTTTGCTTCCCCCTCTTCAAGGTGCTATGCCTACCTGCCCTGGAGGCTGGGACACTGCTCTCCAACAACCACCAGGGGGCAGGAGTGCACTCTCTAGTTGCCAGAATGGCTGCTTGTGGCCAATGGGGAACCTCATGCCCATGGTCGCTGGTCTTCATCCCTTCCTGTGGTGGTTTTCAGCTAATAGCTGGACTTTATTTATCAATTTCCTGTTACAAATGAGTATGCTGCCATGGTGAAGGCTGGACAAGGTGCTCCTCTAGCCCTTCTTACCTCAGATGCCTCAACAGAACAAGGCAAACAAGGAGCAGCTTCTCGGGAGCTGACAGATCTGTTGGGGCTCAGAAGGGTGGTTACACTCTCAACATGCTGTAAAGTGAGCTTGTGACCCACAACTTTCCTGTGCCCACTTTGCGCTTCTAATGGACACAGCCGGGCCACCTCCAGTGCATGCCCCTCCTCGCCAAACCAGGAGGTGAGCAGGGCAGCGGCCCAGGGCCGGGCGAGGGAAGCCGGGCATATGCAGGCTCAGGCTTCATGTTTGTTTATTAATGCATCGGACACAATAAAACCACAACTGTTATCAAAAAATTTCCCTCCCATTCCCCCTTTATTCTGTTGGAAATATCTCTTTAAAAATATACAGGTGAATACTGGCAAAGTCCCATATTGTGGGGTGAGGGGAGCAGTACTGGGGTAGGAGGAGGTGGCAACGTTAATTTTGACAGCATGGTAACGGGTCTGTAGGGTTATCAGACTGGATCCCAACACTCACCTTCACAGTGAGGGAGGCTTGGGGTGCTGGTTGGGAGGAGGGAAGGCCAAATTTAGTGCTAGGGACCAGTGTGGGGGAAAGAGCTAGAGAGGAAAGCTCTTTAGTTGGGAGCCCTGGGAGGGGGGTTCGGTGTTAGCTGGGTCCATAGTCTGAGGAAGACCCGCGCCTCCCACCCCAGAGCTGGGGTTCAGGAAAAATCAGTAAAAGGCTAAGAGGGGGTGGATCACTCTCTCTTAAAACTGGGCCCAGCCAGAACATCATCTTCACCACCCCTGTCCTAGCCCCATCCTTTTCAAGCAGACGAAGACCCCCAAAAGCTTCCCACACCACCCCCCGCCACAGCTGCACCCCATCTCAGCACTGCTCCCTTTCCCCTCCAGTCTCTACCGCACCCCCACATTCATCTTGTCCAGGTAGCGTTGAACCGACTCCAGCTTGAGAGCCCATCCCTCGTCGCCATTCTCCAGAGAATCCAATGAGTGGGGAGGGCCTCCCCAGAGCGTGGGAGTAGAGGTCAGTCACAGACTTGTCCCCAGGCTACAAGTTAAGATTTCTAGGGCCTTTGGCCATGTGGGTACAGGTTTTGAGTGGGAGACATGAGAGCACCATGAGGCCGGGGCTAGGGTTTTGCATAGACTTTTGGGATTTCTTAGTCTGCTCCCTGTAAATCAGGCAGGGAGAGGCAGGGGAGCCCAGGACTAGCCCTAGAAGGCTGGGGGAGTGAGGGTGGGGATGGCCCTTGGGCCAGGGGTTATTAGTTGAATCCCCCGTCCAGATGGAATGAGGGGCAGCTGCCCTTGGAACTAGCCCAGCCCTCCCTGGCTTGGTCAGGGACCCCTAGGCTGTAAGAGGCCCCCCGGGGGGTGGAGGAACCGAGGCATCTGGGGGAGGGTGGCTGCTGGCAAGTCGGCCCTGGCCTCCGTGGGTGGGCTAATAGGGGGCGAAGAGGATGGGTCCCGCGGCAGGGCGGACAGCCCCTGCCGGGGCGCGGAACAGCGCGGGGCCCAGGATGGGAGCCGGGAAGAGGGTGGTGGCTGTGGCGGGGGCAGGACGGAGGGCCAGGGGCCCTGGTAGGGCGCAGATGGCCGCGGCTGCGGGGGGCATGGGGCTGGGCAGGAAGCGGGCTGCCAGTGTCTTGGTGAGTTGCTTCTGCAAGGCCAGCTTAGACTGCAAAGAAGAGAGAGAGGACAAGACACAGTCTGACCCTGGAAAATCCCCCTGCCCTGAGCTCCGTCCTTGGGCTTTTTGCTGCAGGATAAACATGCCTTTTAGGGTTCCAAACCTAAATGCTCCTCCCCTCCCACCCCCAAACATTCATTCCAAAGGGCTTTCTCCACCACCTGTCTTCCTGCCCAGAAGGAGGAGAGTCATGACGGCCGCGGGAGAGGCTGTGCTGGGTGGAGGGAGAGATGGTTTCCAGGAGATGGCACGCCCACCCTTGCTCTTGCCCCGAGATGCCTACCCAGGCCCACCTCCCCGGAAATTCCTCTAGGCAGATCCCAAGATAGCTAAAACCCAACCCCAGCTCTTTCTCTGCCCAGGCAGCCTCGGAAGTGGGTGGGGGGGGTGGCTTTATTCTTACCTCAGCTCCCCAGCTGGCCCCCACTTCCCGCTCCCTCCCCCCACCCCCACTTGACTGGGTTCCCAGCCCTGTTGCTTGGTGACAGATACCTTGAGGATACTCACAGCCAGCGCTGCGTGCTTCTGCAGCTTGCTGTGCTGGCTGGAGGGCTTGGGGGGTTTCCCGGCCAGGCGGTCTTTGTGCCTCCTGCTGCTCAGGTGCTAATGGACAGACAGACAGACTGGGAACAAGATGAAGCAGCCCAAGGACCCCCGACTACCCCAGCATCCTTGACTAGTTCATCCTCCTCTACCCACAATTCACTCAGTGAACCTACACTCGCTGGGCGTCACCTGCAGTGGCCCAGGGAGGGGGGATGAGAATTGGCCTTTGCCCTCCAGGAGCCCACTGCCCTGCTAGCCCTCCTCCCCTTCCTCCCCCTGGCCTGGCTCTACCCGCCTTCTCTCCTCAGCCTACCCGCTTCCACCTCCTCGGTGCTGGTCCCGCTCCCTCACCCCTGCTCCAGCCCCGCGCCCGGCCTCCCTTCTCCCCACCTGCTTGAGCTGGGTCTCTGAATTGACCTGGAGCTGACAAACAGCACAATGAAAAGGGGGGCTGGGCCCCTGCCTGCCCCCGCGGGCCCCAGTCACTCTCTTGGCCTTGTGTCCAGCTCCTCCCCGGGGCACTGGGCGGCCCCGGCCCCTTCGGGGAGCCCCTCGCTGACCTTCCACCATCCACCGGTGCTTGGCTCCTGGTCAAAGGGAAAAAGAGAGCCTATCAGCACCGAAGAGGGGCTGCAAGCGCCAGGGAGACCCCTCCAAACTAGATCAGCTTGGCTGTCCCTTCAGCTTCGAGGGTGCCGGGCACACACTCCTCGCCACCAATGAGATTTCTCTTTCCCATCTCCACCAGGTCCTCCCAGCTTCTCTCATTTCAACCCGGCCTCCCTCAAGGAAGGCCTTGCAATGTAACTGGTCAGCTTGCCTTCTCTCATCTCAATCCCTTCCTCTGGGCCTGGCCTCAAGGGAGATGAAGGAGGTATCTCCCGTCGTCGTCTCTGGAGTGACCCTTCAGTTCCTGCTTCTCCTCCCAATTGCCCCTCCTCAGGCATTGGTGGGAGGGCCCGAAATGCCCTGCCCCATGACACCTGAGCCCAGTGCCCCTGTTACTAAGCCCTTCAGCAAAGTACCCAGAAACTCCAGTCTGCCCACATCTCCCCCTTTCCCCGCCCCCGCCCCGACTCCAGCCGGTGGGGCACGCTGACCTGTGTTGTGAGCCTGAAGCTGGGAGGCAGAGTTCACAGTCACCTTACACGTGGGGCAGTAGAGGCGCCCCTTCTCACTCCTGCCTTCTCCACTCACACCGCTTCCCACAGCGGCTGCCGCCGGCTCAGGCCCTGGTGCCTCTCTCCCAGGCTCCGGGGAGCAGGGTGGACAGGAGGAAGAGGAGGAGGAGGAGGAGGCAGCATCCAAGAGGTCTGAGTGCGCTGGCTCCCTGGGCATCGGGTGCGGGGTCAGTGGTGGCTGGAGCATGGGGCCGGGAGGAGGGTCTGCAGGAACTGCTGGGGACATGGAGGGTGTCGGGCAGGAGGGTGAGTCCCGAGCTCATTCTGGAGACCATGATTTTAAGCGCTGATAAATCACGGGTGGCTTGGCAGAGTGGACCAGTCACTAGTGCAGGGGAGACCAGCCCTGAATTCCAGACCCTGCTCTGCCAACCGACTCCCTGGGCAGACTTGGGCCTCTCTGAGCCTCAGTTTCCTCATTTCAAGTTATAAAGTTGGGCAGAATAATCTCAGAAAGCCCTCGCTGCCCTGATAGTCTAGTTATTAGCTGTTAAATAAATGGAAATCAAAAAATGTACCAGAATGTTCATAGAGCACTATTTATAATAGCAAAAACTGGAAACTTCAAATGTCCATCAATAGGAGAAAAGGTTTTTAAAAAATCTTTATATGGTCATACAGCAGAACAGTACACAGCAATGGAAAAGGACAAACCAGCTACCACCACAACAGCACAGAAGAATCTTAAAACGAATATTATGAATGCTCATGAAAGGTGAACTGAACCCAGACACAGACGCCTACATCCTATACAATTTACCAAAACCAGGTGAGACTGGCATGTGCTGAGAAAAGTCCGGATTGCAGGTCCCCTGGGGGTGAGGGTATAGGTGGTTGCATAGCGTCACCCCACAATTCACATCCACCTAGAACCTCAGGGTGCAACCTTATTTTGGAAAGGGGGTCTTTGCAGAGTAATCCGTTAAGGTCAAGTCCTCCTGGATTAGGGTGGGCCCTAATCCAATGACCGAGGCCCTTACGAGAAGACCAGGTGAGACGACACAGACACACGGGAGAATGGGGTGCACCGACGGAGGCAGAGATCAGAGGGACGCAGCCACACGCCGAGCAATGCCAAGAGCTGCCGGCGACCACCAGGAGCCCGGAGCGGGCATGAAAGAGGTTCTCCTTCTCAGTTCCCATGAAGGAGCCTACCCAGCTGACACCCTGATTTCAAGCTTCTAACCTCCGGAACTGTGAAAAATAAAATCTGGATGATGTTCAGCCGCCCGGTGAGTGGTTGTTTGTTGCAGCGGCCCAAGAAACAAGGGGGTGACTGGAAGGGGGTGCAAGGTGGGCTTCTGGGTGCCTGAGAGATGTTTCTTGATCGTGATATATTCAGACGGAAAATTCATTGAGTCCCTCGCTTGTGATGTGTGCCCTTCTAACGTAAGCCAAAATAAGAAGTCGTCTCTCAACCCCTCATCAGAAGCCAGACTTAGAGTGGGGAATGGGGAGAAGAGTTCAGGACTGACCTTTACTCTGTGGCTCTTCAGGGGCTCCGCTGGCCACAGACAGGGTTGGGGACACCAACGTCGCATCCTGGGCCAGGGTTTGGGGCCTCTGCTTGCTCTTGGCGGCTTCAACGGCCTTGAGTTTTCTGGCATGCTTGTGGCCTTTATAATGTGCTTCGGCCTGGTTCTGGGGCGGGGAAGGCATAGGGTCACCATTTGTCCTCTTAGTCTACATGTCCCATCCGTAAGCTGGCACTGGGCAGGGGGCAGGTCACCCAAGGGGTGAATCCTGGCCATTGCCATTGTCATCACAGTATGCACATGGCCCTGAAGTTTCCTGAACGCGTTCTCGTACATGAGCTCCCAGGCAAGAAGCCTCCGGCTTTAAATTCAGACTCAGCCACTTAGTAGCTGTGCATCTTCGGGCAAGTCACTTCACCTCCGTTTCCTCACTCACAACCTTTGCGATAACACGGACCTCACGGGACCGTGAGAATTAAATGAGAACCGGAATAAGTGTCTAGTACCTACCGTAGGTGCTCAGTGAGTGTTAGTTACCAATTTTATAAATGCACAAACGGAGAAAACAGAGATCCTCACCCTTTGAGGTATGTGCACCCCAGAACATTCATGCCTTCGTTCATTTTTTTCAACAAATAATTATTATTATGCGGGGCATTGACCATTTGCCCCGCACTGCAAAGGGGCCCAGAATGAATGCACAATCCCTCTCTTGGGGTGAAGTCTCTCTGCCCAACTTGTTCACAACTTGTAACCAGAAAGCCTGGAGGGAAACCCCATATCTGGCCTGGCAGTGTCCTTCCTTCTTCAACTAGGGGTCCTTGCTTGTTGCTCCCAAATGCAGTAAAGACAGGCGCCTCCCTGGACACGTTTGCCAGAGCGGGTCAACTGAGAGCATCTCCCCGAAACCCAGAGCTGCCTGGACAGAGGGCAAACCTTCCCTGGGAAGCCAGAATGAGGCTCCTTCACTATCTAGGGGCAGCTATGGTAGAAAATGTACGGGCTTTGGGGTCAGCCAGGCCTGGGCTCAGATCCCAGCTTTGCTACTTACCAGCTACGTAGCCTCAGGCAGGTTACTTAACCTCTCTGAGGCCCAGTTTCCTCATCTAAAAAGTGGGGATGACCATTACATCTCTATCCACTTCATGGATGTACCATGAGAACTAATTAAGACGATAGGCGTGAATGTATTCTAAAAATGCTCAGGTGCTTTAGGAACTCAGCTCCAAACTAGAAGCTGATGGGGTGGCCTCTGGGACCCAGAGTGGGGAAGGGCAGTCTTCTCTCTTGTGGAAGGATCCAGAACACAGGCGAGAAGTACACGGAAGGGAAATGGAGTCCCAGGAGAACAGGAAAGGAAGGGGCAGAGGACTCTGGGCAGAGAAGTGGGGGGTGGATAAAGGACTGTGGGTGCCTCTTCTACAACCAGGGATGGAAAATAGGGACCACAGCCCCTTGCTACCGCTTTTCCTCCAGGGAAGACACCAGAAACCCAGCCTTCAGCCCTCTCCCTGCCCGCCACCTCCTCAACTTGTTTCCACTACTCCCTCTCACCGCTGAGTTGAACCTCAGGTGACAGATGTTACAGGAAATGAAGAGCTTCTTCTTCAGAGGGGAGGGGACCCCAAAGGTGTGGCTGATGACAGCTTTCTGGACTGGGTCCATCTGTGAAGGGGGTGGGAGGGCACATAATTCTGCGGTCAGCCGCGGAATGAGGGGTGGGTCAGCACAAAATGGCAAAAACTAAAGACCGTCAAGGGGGGCAGTGGGCAGCCCCTAGGAAGAACTTTTCCCATCCTTGTGGTGTTAGACACAGAAAAAGAAACAGCCTCTTCCCCAACAGACTTTCTGTGTCAACCTGGACTTCTGCTTGGAGGCAGGGGATGGCCAGGGTGACCTCCATGATCTCTTTATTTATTTACCCTCACCCGAAGACATGCTTTTAGAGAGAGAGTGAGCGGGAGAGAGAGACTTCGATGTGAGAGAAGCATTGATTGGTTGCTTCCCCGACATGTCTGGGCCAGGCATCTTATGTGCCTGGATGAGCGCTCAAACCCACAACCTAGGTATGCACCCTGACCAGGAATCGAACCCGCAACCTTCTGATTACTGGACGATGCTCTAGCCAACTGAGCCACACCAGCCAGGGCATGATCTTGAGAGAGAGAACCATGTTCTGGTGATCACCTTGGCATCTCTTGCTGCCCCTCTGGTCTCAGTTTTTATTTTCTTCTCATTCACAAGAATCACAACTATTGGAACAGAGAGTTGGGGGCAGGGAAAGGCAGGGAGGACACAGAGTCACTCTGTTGGAATTTCCTCTCCCATAGCCCAGCCTCGTGCTGCCCTGTGGGCTGGGGGAGAGCAGGCTTACTTTATGAGCTCCTCCGCTGTCACAGGCCTGCGGGGTGGGGGGGGGGGGGGCGGGCAGGCAAGGCCAGGGGAGGTGGCGGCTGGGAGGGGGCAGGTGACAGCAAGCAGAGGTTAGAGGGTCCCTGAGTAGTAGTCATGTCTTTGGAACATTAACTCATGTGTCTTTGTCTTTTTCTTATTTTAAATAATTTTTTCTTCTCTCAAACCAAGTCTTTATGTTCCCTTCTCTCAGGGCCTAGATTGTTGGGCCAAAAGCAGAAGCTCGCTGGGTTTGCTTGTCAAGAACTTCCTAAGCCTTCCTGAGAAAAGAGAACAGAAGCTTTAAGAGAAATTCATGGTTTCAGAAACTTCCCTGAGAACAAAAAGAGGTTCTAATTCTCACAGCAACCAGGGCTGAGGCAGCAGGGGACAGGATCTCAGAGAATGACCTGCAGGGCCCCCAGCGATCAGGGCCGCAATGGCTTCACCTGCTCCTGAGGGACCGTGCACTTGAACAGTGAACATGTCAGCAAGTGACAGCAGGAATCTAAGACCAGAAGACCCTCCCCCAATGTCTCAGGCTCCAAAGGACTTCTGAGCAACCCTGGAGGGCAGGAAGGAAGGGATTCCTCAAGGTGACTGAGGCTGAATTCCCCACCATCTTTTCAAGGTGGGGTGGGGCTTGTTGATGATTGCATTTGATTTTTCAAAATTAAAAAATGGGACATGGCTGGTGTGGCTCTGGATTGAGAACCTGGGAATCAAAGGGTCACTGGTTCAATTCCCACTCAGGGCACATGCCTGGTTTGCAGGCCAGGTCAGGTCCCCCGTAGGCGGTGCATAAGAGGTAACCACAGATTGATGTTTCTCTCCCTCTCTTTCTCCCTCCCTTCCCCTCTCTCTAAAAATAAATAAAATCTTCTAAAAAAATTTAAAAATGGGGAGCATTCCTTATAGCTCATGTAGTGAAATCTAGTTCATGCTCACTACATTTATTTTTCATACATATGCACACATGGAAATACACAGACTAGTATAAAACAGAGAGCACCTGAGCCCTGGCTGGAGTGGCTCAGTGGATTGAGTGTCGTCCTGTGGACCGAAAGGTCACTGGTTCGATTCCCAGTCAGGGCACATGTCTGGTTGTGGGCCAGGTCCCCAAGGTCCCCATTTAGGAACATGTGAGAGGCAACAGATCGATATATCTCTCTTGACTGTTTCTCTCCCTCTCTTTCTCCCTCCCTTCCCCTCTCTCTAAAAATAAATAAATCAAATCTTTAAAAAAACAGAGAGCACCTGAGTTTACAGACAGTTACAAGTTACAGACATGCAGAATAATACTCTCTCACACACACAAATGGCACACAATCATAGGCGAAGGCACAATCACCCAACCCACACAAAACACGCTCAGAGGTCAGACACACCAAACACATACACAGTCAATACAAAGACACAAAACAGCTCTCCTATACCCAGGCACACATACTACATACTGAGAAACAAAGCGCTGTTTACAAACTCTCTCTCTCTCTCTCTCACACACACACACACACACACACACACACACACACACATTCACATCCACAAATTACAAAGGCCTATGGAAACACAAACTAAAAGAGAAAGGCACACCCAGCTGCACACAGGAATCCACAAATCACCCGTAGAGGTCCCTCTACCAAAGCTCAAGTGAAATCTGCAGCACAGACCCTACAGTCTCAGCAGTTTAACTGGGGGCACGGGCGACACCATCCTACTTCCCTGACCCAGAGAGCTGGGCCCAGGGGACCTCTATTTCGGGAGCGCCTAGTCTCTCGGGGATGTTGGAGGAGAATGAGCTTCTGGCTAGACCCAGCTTCGGAGAGCCAGCCCCTCTGAGCCCCCCTCCCCTGCCCACCCCCAGCTTGGCGCATGCTCCCGCCCACCAGCCCAGCCCATACCGTGCTGAAGTTGGGGAAGAGACTGAGCGGGGCGGCGCCATTGAAGTGGAAGGCCAGCAAGTGCTTGAAGTCCAGCGGGGGCTGCAGAGGCCTTGTGGGCAGGGGCAGGGAGGCCAGCAGAGGGCTGGGGGCGCTGGAGGCCGGGCCTGCTGCGGGAGGGAGAAGGGCAGGGTCTGAAATGGGAGCCACAGGGCAACCCTACCTGCACAGCCAGAAGGGGCTGATGGGCTTCCAGGGTATGGAGCCAGGGCAGAGCTCCTGTCTCCCTCTTCACCAAGGAGCACTAGCCCAGCCGAGCGCGATTACAGCCCCCCTCTGTGCCTCTCCTCTCCACAACTGGGGAAGCAGAAGCAGGGAACCCACAGCATAAGCCTCCTGCCCCTACGGAGGCCCAATTGAACCCCGAAGGGGAGTCAGGCCAAGGGAGGCGACAGAGGCGTCAGAGCGGGCCTCTGACACACACACACCACCATGGAGACTGCACGTGAGCTGAGTTTCCTCTTTATTGCAAATTAAACCCAAACCCGGGAGGCCTGGGGAAAGGTCAGACCCCTCCCTTCCCACTGACTCCCCTGCTCCAGACCGCCACATCATTCCCAGCAAGGGCTGCCAGAAGGGATGGGAAATCCTCGAAAACTGAAGGAATGTGTCCCCCAGCTCTGGTGCAGCCCCAGCTGCTTCCCCCAGGGGGCAAGAAGCCTCCAGGGGCACCCCTGGGTCTGGCCTGCAGGAGGGCACAGCGCTGAGGCTTCACGGTCTTTGGTCTCAAGGGTCTGAGGCAAGGAACTTGGGGGAACGGCCAGGCTTCAAGAAAGACAAAAATTAGAAATAAGCCCAGTTCATTTGGGACTTTTTTGGACCCTGTCAAAACGAAAAGAAGTCCTTTTAGATTTATGTGTTAACACTATGAAAGACAGGAGAGATTTATTTCACATTTCTAGATGGACACGTCTATATGCCATACGGTCATATACAGAAAAGCCTCAGGTAGTCCATTGGTGGGGAAGGAAGGGAGGGTACCACTCCCTCCCTTGAACTGTTAACTTGTGCACAGAGAGGGTACTGTGCGGTGTGTCAAAAACAAGGACAGCGATCTGCTCTCCAGTCATGTCTGAAGAGATGCTGCCAGCAGGGAGGTGAAAAGCAGTCAGCAAACCATTCTTTTCTTCTCAATCCCTTAATTCTGGTAGACCCAGTCTTCCTCCCTTCTACAAAGAACCCCCGCCTTTTTTTAGGGCCAAAACTTGAGATGAATCCAGATGGGAAAAGGGGAGCCTCACCAAACTCTAGGATGGTCAGGAAAAATATTTAGGGTGCCCCAGACCCTAGCATCTCTGGCCACTTGCCCCGGTCCCCCTGGACCCAATTCTCCTCCACAGCCCACAGGGCTGGGTTAGTACTCAGCATGGCGCAGAGAAAGCGTGGGGAAGGTGGGTGGAAGGCCACAGTTAGTAAGTCAGCTCGGATGCAGCATGGTCAAGTCCAGCATGGTCCTTAAAAGTGCTCAGACCCAGGTTGGCTGGTTAGAGAGAAGGAGGACACCCTCAGGTGAACTTCGAACCCAGAAACCCGTCCCCCCACCCACTCTCTAAGAACTCCACGGCCATCGCAAAGTCAAACTCGTGCAGTGGGGGGCCATCCACAGCGATCTTGACCGCAGGGTCACCCCGGCCTTCCCCAGGCCCGCCCTGCCCCCACCACCGCAGCTCCCTGCTGCGGCCGACCTTGTCCAGGAGGCCGGCGCCCACGGGCAACACCAAGGCCAGGGTGGCGAGGGCTGCGAAGTCGGGGAAAAGCTCGTGGAGCTCGGAGTGTGCGCACGCCAGCTTGGAGCACAGAGCCCGTGGGCCTAGCTGCCCGAGGCTGCAGACCACGCGCTTGAAGAGAGTAAAGTCGCCCAATGCGCGCTGGCGCACCACAGCCGGGGCGTAGACGCGCAGAAGGAGCCGCAGCGCCCCCTCGCCGTGTGCGCCCAACTCCTCGGGCGCCTGTGGGTAGCAGCGGGGATCGAAGATCGCGGCGAAGGCGGCTGCGGCATCCAACGAGGGCGCAGGGTAGGAGTCCCGCAGGCCCCTCCGCATGGAGTCCAAAAAGGCCCCCCGCAGCCGCTCCAAGCCCCGGACCGCAGCCTCGGAGTAGCCGACTAGCTCCAGGCCGCGGTAGGTACAGCGCCCACCGCCCAAGTCGGGGCTGGAGGAAGCCAGTTCCTGCAGGAAGCCCTGGAGGCGCGCGCCACCGGAGCTTCGCTGCGCTTGGAGGGAGGCTGCAGCTGCCATCACCAGGGGCTGCAGCAAGGCCAAGTCCGGGTCTTCTGGCTGCAAAACAACGGCGAGCTTCTGCATGCAGGGCAGAGTGTCCAGGAGTAGGTGGGTGAAGGCCACAAAGGTGAACTGGCGCAGGGCGAGGGCCAGCGCCCTAGCTGTTGGCGAGGCTGGGGCAGAGGCTTCCAGTGTGGGCACCAGGCAAGGCCAAACCTCAGCCACTGCTTCCACGACAGGCAGCAAGGAGGCCCAGGGCACTGGCCGTGGTCCTGCCAAGTCGATAGCTGCAAGGTCCAGTGCCGCCCGCAGCTCAGGGACCACGTGGCCCCTGGGGCCACCGTGGAGGCGGAATAGGGCATCCAGGACACTTTCGTATTCACCTAGGTAGTCAGGGGGCTCGGGATCGGGCCGGCCAGGGAGGCAGTGTAGCTCCATGAGCAGCGGGCAGGCGGCCTGGAGCTGCAGGCCCACACTCCCCAGGCAGTCACTGGGGAGGCTTGAGCTGAGCCAGGCTAGCTTGGGTGCAGACACGCCGAAGGCCTGCAGGATGTCCAGGAGCTGGCCCGCGGTGGCCTCGCCCTCCTGTAGCTCCACACTGCCCAGGAAGGTGGCGGCAGGCTGGCCATCGCAGGGGGACACCGAAGTGGCAAACAAGGCCAGACTGTGGGACTCAGGCCAGTCCCTGGTCTTGTCCAACACCAGCCCCACGTATGGGGATGCCTTCAGGCACTGGCAGGCCTCTGTGTGCAAGACACTGGCAATGGCCACCTGGGACAGCCAGAGAGAGAAAGGGAGGCAGGGCAGTTAGGCTTGTCCAGAGAAGGGGAGGCAGACAGCACAGGGTGATAGGGGGAGCACAGGCCTTAGGGTCAGAGAGATTTTGGGACTGATCCTAGCTTTGCCACTTACTGGTTGTGTGACCTTGGGTAAGTCATTTTTACCTCTTCGAGCCTCAGTTTCTTCAGCTCTAAAATTGGGCTACTAGGTGCCCCCAATCTCCTCAAAAGGCTGTTGTGAATTATAACTGTAACTTCTTGTTATGCTTATAAATGTAAAATGCTTTACGAACCATAAATGTTCTGCAGAGTTTGGTATGTGTGTGTTTCTACTGCATCACCCACCTGCCTTATTCCTGGGGTGGGGGGGGGGGTCTCCCTCCTTTCTGCTGCTCAGGGATTAACTGAGAGACATGTTCAGTCTCAACTCTTGGCCAGCGGCGCAGGGCCCCAGCTGAGTGCTGTTTGTCTCTCACCTCTGTAGGATGAGGTCAACTCCCCCACCTCCCAGCCCCTAGGACTCACACAGCTCATACCTAGGACAGAGCTGCCATTGACATGCCCCCAGAGGCCACATGGGTAATACGGAGCTTGAAGTGGGCCAGGGATAAAGCGGAGGGAATGGGGAAGCCCATGCCTGCTCCCCAACTCCACCATTTCATGCCCCTAGTTTTTCAGTACAAGCAACAAATCCAGATCTTTATGTGTAATCTCTCATTTTGTTAGACTTGGGAACTAATTTTTCAAAAACACTGAAAACCAACAAAACCCTTCTGGAGGTGAGGCAGGCCCCCAGGGCCACTAGCTTGCCACCCCTGGCCTGGGTAGTGAGGGGAGGGCCGCTGTGTCCCCGAGGACAGGAGCTGGTCTGGCTGCTGCGCTGTGGTGCTCCCAGCAGCTGGCCCAGGGCCTGGCACACTGTATGCTCTCAGGGAAGGGCCTGACCAGTGAAGGTATGAATGAAGTGCTCTGGCCGCTGCCCAGGGGCCTGGCATACTGGCACTGTGCCAGGTGGCTCCATGTCCTCCCTCCCCAAGCCCTCCCCCATACCCCTGGCTGCCACCCACCTGCATGTCCCTCACCCTCCTGGGGCTGTAGTAATCGCCATGCTCCGTGCCCAGCAGCGCCTGGCACAGGTTGAACCTCTGTAGCTCCAGCAGGGCAGAGCAGCGGTCATCAGGCACGTCCTCCTTGGCCATGCAGTACACGGTGGTCAGCACAGCCACTTTGGCCGGGTCCACCTCCACCTTGATGCCCCTGGAGGTAGGGGTGGTTGCCAGGCCTGGGCAGGCCCCTCCGCCCTCAGCCTCGATAGCGGGCTGGCCCCGGTTGACAGCCAGAGCCTGGCGGTGGGCCCCCGAGGTCACGTGGCGCAGCAAAGCGTGGCGCTGGAAGTTGTCGGTGCCCACGGTGAAGGCATTCTCCGCTTTGCCGTGCTTGTTCCGTACCAGAGCCTGGCGGCACTCCAGGCAAAACATCAGCTTCCTCTCATAGTCAAAGTCCAGCCAGGTAAATTCCTTTTTCCAGTGCTCATTGAAGTAACGCTTGCACTTCTTGTTGGAGTTGGAGGCCTCTCCGGCTGGCTTCTTCCCGGGGGGCACCATTCCTGCTTAAGGGGCAGGGCACCCCCACCCCCCACCCAAATGCTCTAACTCCCTAGCTTCCCCCACACACAGAGGCACTTCCCTTGACAAGGGGAGTTGGTGGGGAGGCAGGAGAGGGGCAGCTTGCCAGGCTAATGTGGACCATCCGTCTAACTTAGCTGGGAAAGTTTATTCCTGCTCCGGTGGGAGACTGGAGATGAAAGAGACAAGGGAGGGTTGTTAGGGAGTCCATGACTTGGGTTCACGCTGCCCACAGAGCACTTCCCAGCTGAGGGGTGGACTGGACCCAATGGGGAGGGGCTATCGGGAGTGGGTGGAGTTATGCAAAGGGCCTTAGAGCAGTTATCCAAAGTGGGGAGGTCTGGGAGGCCAAGCCCCACCTGAGGGTCTCCCTCCATCCAGGACAAGGCGTTGATTAGTGTTGACAGCTAAAGCAGCCAGAACTCAAAACGCAACCACATTTTATAAGTGAAAGAACTGGGTCCTGGAGACAGAGTGGTGCTCAGGACTCATGAATAATTTTTGGGCCAGAAGAACAATTCAAGCCTCCTGACTCACTGTTGCCCAGAGGAAGACTGACTCCTCCAGTCTACAGTCATTTATTTCAACAGAAGGAAGTTAGCAGAAAGCTGAGCTTCCGGAGCCACCGGATTGAGGAACTGGATTTGTTTTCTCTGGACCTCCCTTCGCTAAACACACACACACATTCTCTCTCTCTCTCTCTCTCTCTCTCTCTCTCTCTCTCTCTCTCTCTCTCTCGGTATGGTTTTTGGGAAGGGCAGCCCAGAAGTGGAGGCTGAGCCCCAGACTGAGGGCACCTAGCTGGTTGTCTCTCATTCCCTCACTCTACCATCCCACCCGGGGTGCAAGGCCAGAACGAGCAGTTCAGGACCAGAAGGTCATGTCCAGCTCATGGCAAAGCCTGCCAGCCCTGTTCCTAATGATCTCTCCAACCTGTCTGTCCCTCCTCTCCCTGCCTAGAGATAATGGCAGTAACTGCCCCGTACTGAGCGTGAACAAACCCAGGGCCTGGGCTGTGTACTCTGCAGTGAGTCCAAGGGGAGACTAGGATTCCTCCTGCAGAGACTCAAGGTGGTACCGTCCTCATTTTGAACAGGAGGAAACTGAAGCTCAGAGACTTGAAGTGACTCGCCCACGGTCCACAAGCAGCGAGTGCCTGAGGCAGAATGAGATCCCATGTCCTCCTGACCCCAAAAGCCACACTGAGGCTCTGGCGCGCACCATTTCACCTGGATCATGCAGCTGCCTCCGCCTCTGCAGCCATTCCCCCAAGCTCCTCCATCTCCCAGCAGCCAGAGAGCACGGCCACACACAAATCCTCCCATGTCACCCCTGTGCTTCTACCTCTTCAGTGGTGTCCTGTTGCCTAAGTCTACACAGCTCACCATGTCCGTTCCCCAACCCCGCCCCCCCCGCCCCCAAGCCTCTGGACATCTGCAGAGCTTCCCATCCATCACTCCTTTCTGCTTGGCCAACTCCAAATGCTTACCATTCCCCACACATATGACTGTTACTTTAGCTCCCCCTGTGCCTGGAATTCCCCACCCCTCCTCCTCTTTCCCTGGCTAATTCCTATTCATTCTTGGAGAGCAGCTCAGACATCTCCTAAGCCAGTACCTGCCCTCCTGTCTCCCATAATCCCCCGTGGGTGATTCTTCATAATACAACATGGTGAATGCAAGGATTCTCTATGCATCTCTACACTTGGTTCCTGGAAGGCTGAAATTGCATTTATTTACTTTTGGATCTCCAAGTCCTTGTACAGGGCTGGACACGCAGATGCCTCTCGGCAAAAGTTGGTCGTTAAAAAGAATGAAAGGATTTATTTTGGCTATGTGAAAGAACTTCCTGTTTCCGAGGCTGTTGGCTAGATGAGCCTAGCTCTGAGAAAGCAGCGACTGTCTTGTCCACCTGATATAACACCCAGAACCCTGTGTGGAACCTGGCACTTGGTGGGCAAAATGAGGGCAGATAAGTAGAATTCCAGGGACAGCTGTTCAGGGTAAGGAAAGGCACTCCGCGTGTTGCCAGATGTGAATGAAACTTGTCGGTCCTCTTCCCCGGGGCTCTTAAGTGGCATTTGGTACTGCTCATCACGCTGTCCTTGAAACACGTTTTCCTGTTGGCACCCAGGATTCTAAATTCCCTGGTTTTCCTTCCCCACATCGGCCACTCCTGGGCCTTGTGCTGTCATCTCCACCTCCTGTTCCCAACCTCAGCCTGTCCAAAGAGTTCAAAACCATCTCTGCGGGCCACTCTGAAATACACAGCCCCAGCAGGGGCCTCCCTCTGGGCAGCATGCCTCTCCATCCAACCACCTTCCCGGCTTGTCTAATGGAACTCTCAGTGTGCCCCTACCAAATACGCTCCTCCCCATGTGCTCCCAGTCCAGCAAATGGCCCATCCTCCCACCCCGGTGCTCTGGCCAGAAACACGCCCCTTCAAGCCACACTCTCTTCAACATCCAGGACCTGGTCCATCCCCAGGTCCTGTTGAGTTCCACCTCCACCGTCTACCGCTCACTCATTCCTTTTGTCATGGCTGCTGCCACCAGCCTCATCTAGACCACCTTCATCTCTTGCCTGGACTGTGCCACTTGCTTCCTGATGGCTCCCTGGGTTTCTACTCTTACCTGTCTCTGAGCCATTCAAACTCTAGCGGCCAGAGGAGGCATCCCAAACACCGCTTAAAACCCTCTACTGCAGCCTGTGGCTCTGAGGCCAGTGCGGAGTCCTGTTCCAGGTCTGCCATGTGCCCAGGCATTGCTGACCGTGCTGGCAGCCACTTGTCCGTCCCTCCCCTTCCAGCTGTACCTGCCTTTTCTTGGTTCCTCCAGAGTGCGAGGTTCCCACGCTCAGGGCCTGTGCTCACTTCCAGAGTGTTCCCACCCTCCACTTCCCCTCTGGTCTTAGCTTAACTGTCCCCTCTTCAGAGGCTTCTCCCGTTATCCTTTTCTAGGAAGTCCCCTTCTTTTCTGCCACTAACCCGTTTGTTCCCTCCATTGCACTTCCCACAATTTACAAATCTGCTTATTTCCGTGCAGTTCTATTGCCTGGTGTTTGGGGACACACTCTCTCTCTCTCGCTCTCTCTCTTTCTCACCCTGAACCCAAGAGAAGGGAACCCAGCATGTATGGCCACAAAATTCGGGGAGTGAATGAATAAGGAAGCATGAGCTCTCGGGGAGAAAGGACAGTGGAATGGGTCCTTGGGCACCTGTTGGGTGGTTAAAACAGCTGCCTTTTGACATCCTTTCTTCCTAAAATCCTGTGATTCAGTGACCTTGTCCAGCCCATCACCCAAAGGATCTTAGAATGGGGAGGAGGTGCAAGACCAAGTGTGTCAGATCTTTTCCACGCACCTAGAAACTGGCTCTCCTGCCCCGTTCTGCAGAGGGGATGAAATGACTACCAGGCCTAGGACGCTTTTGATAAAAGATCAAAAGAGCAGGTAGGAAGGAGGCATGGAAAGATGGCGATTCTGTAATTGCACTGTCCAATATGGTAGCTGCTAGCTAAATGTAGCTGATTAAGATTAATCAGAATTAAATAAAAAATTTTTAATTTCCTTCCTCATTCGCACTAGGCACAGTTCAAATCCTCAATAGCAACATGTGGCTCATGGCTCGTGGCTATTGCATTACACATCTCAGACGGAGAACATTTACAACATCCCAGAAACTTCTATCAGACTGTGCCCCTCAGAAAAACAAAACAGAAGAAATAAATGGACAAAAGTCTTCAATATTCCCCTACCCCAACCTGAGGGAAGCAGGCTGGGTGGAGTGTGGTCCAAGGCAGACACGTCTCAGACCCAGGTCGCGCTCACCTCTCAGCACCTTGGTCAGCGGGGTGGGAGCGGCCGCAGCGCGCAGGCCTTGGGACAGAGCGGGTGGTTCTGCCACCCCACTTCAGCCGGCATGTAAGCCCCAAACATAGGGTTTATTTAGCCCCAGGAATCGTAGTCCCCAGCCTCTTCCCCAGGCTCCTTTGGGCTCCTCCTTTGGGACCCCACTAAAAGAGCCCAAGCTCCGGGCAGAGGAGAGGTGGGCAACCCCTTCCCGGCAGCCCGCGTGAGGCTAGGGCCCCAGCACACCCGTCCTGTCCTCTGGCGGTGGGGACTCGGAGGGCTGGGGAACTTATTCTGGGGGGCGCGTTGGGGAGGATCCCTCAGATGGGTCTCTCGGAGGCACCGGTCCCCGCTCTGGCGGTTGCCTACTGCCAGCTCGGCCCCAGCCCCGGTCATCCGCCCCCTGCCGGGCAGCTCTGGGAGGGGGCGCCCGGCCCCGCCCTGCCCAGCCCCAGTCCTGCCAGCACAGACTCACAGAGACACCGGAGCCACCATCTTGCGCGGTGGACGCTCTGGCCGTGGTCTCCTTGGGCTTCACCGAGCGACAGCAGCCACTAGTGGTAACTGCGGTGAAGAGGCGCCAGCAGCCAGCGCGGGCCAGGGTCGCAGGATGGGTGGTGGCGACACCTACCCTGCGGTTCACCCAGGGGAGGCCGTCTGCCGCCCGCTCTGTCCCAGCAGCGGCGCGCAGAGCCCGCGGTCACCGTCATCCTTCCCCTGGCTGTGTGCACTGCAGCAGGAGCTACTGGGATTAGACTGACTGCAGGAAGGAGTCATTCATTCATCGCAGTTACCAGTGCATGCCTAGAGGAGCTCACAGGTAGAGTGCCAAACCAGGGAGAGCTCCGTGGATGGAGTCTGGCAAGCGCTCTGAGAGTTATGAACAAAATGCTCTGGGATCACAGAGGAGTGGGCAGTAAGCCCAAGGTTTTCCCGGAGAGTCAATTAGTTTTCACAGCAGGGTCAGTGAAATTTTACCAGACGAAGGGCATTCCAGGCGGGGGGGACTGGCAGAGCATGGGAATTTGACAGTACAGCGCAGGTGTGGGGGATGGGGTGAGGGTGCCCTGGGCAGTGCCTGCTGCTGGGAGGCTCACCGGTGCATGCTGGGGATTTTGACCTTCGGGCCTG